ATGATATATAAACTAATAATGTGCACATATGTCTCTCTCTCTCTCTCTCTCTCTTATTAATAACTTTTTCTTTTCTATCTGATATATATATAAGTTAATTTGTAATTCATATATAGAGAGAGTTCCTTAAGAAATTTATACTGTGAAATACATTTTTTTAATATTTTGTTATATACTATATATTTGTCTGTTTATCTCTTACCAAGAAAAAAAAATTTACTTTCTTAAAACAAGATATTTCTTAACAAGATATTACTTCTTTCAAGATATTACTTTTTTAATATTCTCGATGCTTTATTTTCTAAAGATATCAACATCTATACACTACAACGCGAATTGCACTGATTTAAAGCAAAATACCTTCACCTGCCCTAAAGATTTACTCACCGAGCGTTGGCCGCTACTGCTACAATATCTCACTCTGCAACAAACAATAATAAAATTTTATTATTAGATATAAGATAATTAACTTTGAATTAATTATTGAATACTTTTAAATATATTTTTAATGCAACAGCTAACAATCTGTGATATATACCTTCGTGCCAAGCCCTTTTTGCCCGAACCGGATCCTCCGGTGCCGCAAATACCAAATCTGGTCAGCACTCACTCTGCAACAAATAATAAATTTTATTATTAGATATAAGATAATTAACTTTGAATTAATTATTTAATACTTTTAAATATATTTTTAATGCAACAGCTAACAATCTGTGATATATACCTTCGTGCCAAGCCCTTTTTGCCCGAACCGGAACCTCCGGTGCCGCAAATACCAAATCCGTCAGCAAATTTGACCTTGAACAATAACAAATAAAATATGACTATGTAGAAAAATCCGAAAAAAAATATTAAATTTAACAAAAGATCATTCTCATATTTACCATGTTTTCAAGTTTTCTACATTTTTTGTACAAAAACATCCGCTACGCGAAAGCGCGAACGACTGCGACACAACTTTACCGTTAAAGCTCACCGATTATCATTATTAGCGACTGCGCGATGCTAATTACGTATCATTGAAAACGTCCGATACTTGACGACAATCACGTTTGGGTACGAGACGATAATAATCGCGAAAAAATACGAACCAAGTTTTTCTCGCGTGTCGGCCATTTTGTGACTCGCGCTCGTCCCTCGCGGCAGCGACCGCGATACAATTTTACCGTAAACTTGCCGATTAGCATTGCCAGTGCGAGTGCGCGCGATGCCAATTATCGTATCACTGCGAACATCCGACGCTATTTATGACACACGTACAAAAATTTGCGCGCGAGACGTGAATATTCGAGAAAAATAACAATTTGTACACACCAGTTCTGCTCCGTGTCGCGCGTTCGCCGCGACTGGCCGCCAAGTCGAGTGTATCGAATCGCGCGATACTTCGATTCTCGAAATATCGAATCGACGTGCACAGCACGAGAGCGCTCACGTAGCAGGGGAATGGAATCTTTCAAATCAATAGGAAAGATATTTATTATTTACCGATGTTGTATTTTTATTTACCGATGTTGTATTTTTATTTACCGATGTTGATTTATATGCATAAAAAAACATAAACATCGCGGCGCTCTTTAGAAGAATACATTTCGCGGGAGAGATATAAATTCATCGCGATTTCAAGTTCTCACGCTTTTAATTCTCATGACCAATCAAAAAATATATATATATATATATATATTGCTCGCGAACAATATTATTATTTCCGACTATCGTGAAACAAAAAACGATGGAAATTTATTAAACTTTTATTAAATAAATTTATTAGACACGCAACGTGAAACCTGTGCATGATATTGTTACATTCAACAGTCGAGATGTTTTTCCGAATTGTTTTTTTGGTGTTTTGACGCTCGGGGAACCGTTCTTCCCCTACTACGCAACTTTGGGACAGCGACTTGAACGAAAACAGCGCAGAAGCTCAAACAATAGGTGATTCGTGCGCATGGAAAATTCTACCGCGCTATTTACAGCGCGGGGTTTTAGTATTCTCCGAGCGCGCGAGAACGAAGCAACAACACATATAACGTAAACACACATGTAAAGAGACGTACTTACTTGATTATATTTTATATCCCGATTCGTAATATTCCTCGGCGCACACAGTCAGGAATTCCGCAGCTCATCGCATCGTACAGCTGCGATAATACGCAACATTTTTTCGCGCGCGTTTTGCGAAGGCACAAACGACTGCGAGTAACTATTCGCGTATGTAATGCTCACCGATTAACTGCGAGTACGCGATGTCAATTGCGTGTCAGTGATAACGCCCGACACTTTACGACACACTTGTATGTACGACCGATATTCGCGCGCGAGACGAATAATAATAATCGCGAGAAACACGAGAACAAGACGACGCCATAGTTCCGACTTTTTCGCGTCCCGCGTCCGCCATTACTGTCCGCTAGAGCTAGATCGAGTGTATCGAAACGCGGAGTAATCGATTCGATAATCGACATATCGAATCGACGAGTGCGCGGCAAAGCGCGCTCACGCAAAGTCTGTAGAATAGAGAGGTTTTGCCTGGTGTCTCTCGATCAGAAAATCAATCAGAAAACAAGAATGAAAATACCGGGAGTGACGTCACTCAGCGTGCCTGTTTCGAATTAATGTGTGTGTGTGAGTATAGTTCTAATATTATAAAATATCCAACTTTTATGACGTGAGAAACGATTTAATACGCTCATTGCCAATTACGACTTTAACTTGTAATCGGTTGTTTAAGGTTAGTGAAAGCCCACCGGTAGTTATCTCGTACCTAAAAGTGTTCCGTTTTACTTTTTTTTATCGTATTTTGTTAATCTGTCTGTGGAAAGTTCACACAATGATGCATTCGAAAAATGAAACTTACAAATTTAACCACAAATCTTCAATATAAAAATAAAAAACAACGAATGATTTGTTTTAAAAAAAAAAGAAAAAAAACATATGCGTCAAAATTTTGAAAAATCTACTAATAAAATAGTTTAAATGATTTGCTAATTCCGGCCAGATCAAATTTGCGGTGGTAATTAATATATTACCGAAACAACACTCAAATATTTAACTTGTACAATATTTATACACATTATTTATACGTAATTATACAATTTTTATTAATTTATATTTACATGAAACAAATAAATAATTAAGACGCAATCTTTTATATTTTCTAGTTATCTTGTTATCAGAAGCTGTCTTTCGTTTTCTAACTTTGTTTTCTTCTCTTTTTAAGTTAAAAAATTTTGTACGGACAAAGATTCTTTGTTTAAACAAATTAAACAAATAAATAATTAAGACGCAATCTTTTATATTTTTTAGCTATCTTGTTATCAGAAGCTGTCTTTCGTTTTTTAACTTTGTTTTCTTCTCTTTTTAAATTAAAAAATTTTGTACGGACAAACCATTTGTTGTTTTTTATTTTTATATTGAAGATTTGTGGCTAAATTTGTAAGTTTCATTTTTTGAATGCATCATTGCGTGAACTTTCCACAGACAGATTAACAAAATACGATAAAGAAAAGTAACGGAACACTTTTAGGTACGAGATAACTACCAGTGAGCTTTCACTAACAAACAACCGATTCTCTAAAATTCTTTTATTAATTCAAAGGGTACGTCTTTTATTTGTGTTTGCTAAAAATGTTCTTGTTTTGTCAACGATGCCTTTGCCGCGCCAAATTTTTACGTGGTCCGGCAATCATAGTCGAATCTTATAGCGATTTCGGCTGGTCTGCACCGACTGCACATTTCGGATGTCGGTGCAACTTGTGTGTTCGGTTGGTCGAATGGTGCAGTTCCTTGCTGGCGGTGCCGCGTATTCGTCTGAGCTCAGTACACCGCACAGGTGCATGTTGAGTGTACACAAAGTGGCTCTCATAGCGATTTCACCTGGTGTGCACCGGTGTGCCACCTGTGTAGAGTTGGTACAAGTGTTTGCAGTGCGGTGTTGCACTCTGAATATTTCGACTACCACCAATTGGCTCCAATTAATTTGTGAGAGCCACTTTGTGTACACCACAAAGTTTTAGACGGTTTTGCCGTCTTCTAGATTTTGAAAACGTTAATTGACGATCAAATATATTCTTCGTATATAAAAAATATTGCAAGCATTATCGTTCTACGTTATCGTCGATCTGATCGACCAAAGGAAACATTTATCGTTTCTATCGATCACCGATTCACCGTGTCATGTAACGTGCTATAGTTTTTTCCCATAAAAATCCTATACGAAGCATGAGCGATTTTTACGTGATGCTAGAAAGTGCAATTTCGGAATTGCGAGTGGAAAAGAGTTGCGACATTAGACTTTCGACAATAGAACATCGGCGAAATTTGTTTTGTATAGGAAAACTAACAGAAGTTTATACATTTTTATCACATTGCGGTGATAAAACATAAATGACTGTAGTGTCGGTTTTATTACGTCATTATGTAAAATTTAATCCGATTTTTTGTTTAATCGAAATGTGTCAGAAAATGTTCGTCTTTTCCGTAAAAGTTGCAACACAGTGACATTTATCAATCGACCGAATTAATAGAAACCAAAGCAAGTCACGATTATATTTCCGTATAATATTATTAATTATATATTATTAATATATTATTAATATTTATGTACGATATTAATATTAATATTTAATATTAATATTTATATTCAAAATACAAAATATAATATTGTTCACCTATAATCAGTTTATTTAAAGTTAAAATAATAATACAAAAAAATAAAGTTAAATAAAGTTAAATAACAATACAAAAAAAAACACGTGTAATCATCCGAGACAAACATGTATTGTTGCGTCGAATCCTTCTGGAATGTTTCAACATATTTCAAAAATTTATAACTTTCCACAGAATTCGTTATACACCACTGCAGCGATAAGACAGTATAAGTTTTTGCACAGTTTTTCTTCGGCTGGTCACCGGAAACTATTATACAGATGATCTGTGTTGCAAAGTTCAAGTAATTTACATTATAAAACTGCAAAGTGCTAGCGGCAGTACGGATCCGTCTCTCGATTCGCAAATACTTCCTTTCAACTTTTAGATACTTATAAATTACTCAGAAAATTACTTTTGTATATATTGTATATTATATTGAACACAGAAAATCACATAATGAGTGTCGCCAGTGTTTACAATTATTTTATGATTGACTTAGCAGGTAAATATTTCTCATTAATTGCGTCAATGTGTTTTTTTTTACATACGTAGTGCTCTCGAAATTTCTAATGTACATATAAAAATGCTGATGCCTTTACTTTTGACACGTACTATGTAAAAAACATACCTCTCTAAGTTATATATTCTCAGAAAGTTTCAATTATTGCGTGTTGCGTATTAAAAAGATTATTAAAAATAGTCAGTGCTCGGTGTCTTGATAAAAAATAATGCATGTAAGTGTGCGTAATAAATAATTTTTTATACTCAATTTTTTACGCTCAAATTAATCAGTAAAGTGACTGTTTGCTACAAAAAAACAATGAACACTCAGCTTGAAATAATTTTTGACGGTATTTAACTATCGTTGGTGTTATAAAAAACGCGTCTTGACGCAATGCTTTTCTGACAAAAAAACTTTTCGTGCTACACATTCTTATTAAGGAAGAATCGTGTTTGTATATTACTACAAAATGTGTGATATCTTAAAAAACTTATCTTTTCAAAAAAAGATACGAACAGACGCCAAGTACACACACACAACACGCATTTTGTATTTTAATTAAAAATCTTAATTCTAATAAACTGTTTTTTATTTATACAATTGAGACTAAAATGAAATTGATTAGTTTCGACGTTCTTGAAATATTGCTTCGTGAAAATCTCATCTCTTTTCAAACATTTGAATTTCGCGTATTCAGAGGCACGGTGTGCTCGCACGTTCGAGCGCGACTTTGTCACTTGATACTTATTAATTTATTATTTGTTCATTATACAATTTAATCTATATACAGGATATCCGGTAATTACCGTATCACCGTTCGTAGGCAGGTAGAAGAAGTAAAATTGCGTCGAAAAGTCCTGAACCATTTTTTTCTATTACATATAATAAATAAGTAATTGTTGAATAAATTAATCGACGCCGACCTTTAGCCGAACGCACGTCAGTGAACCACGCGCCTGGTGTGTGTGAGCGCTCCGCGCGGCTCACGTGCGCCCAATCGAAGGTCGGCGTTGATTAATTTGATTTATTCAACAATTACTTCTTTAGTATATGTAATAGAAAGAAATGATTCAGGACTTTTCGACTCGAGGTTTACTTCTTCTACCTGCCTATGAACGGTGATACGGTAATTAATCGGACACCCTGCATATCAAAATATTTAATATTTACAACGAGTTAAATGCTCATTAAAATTTTCGTACTATAAATTACGGTTTATACGAGCTTACATGCTGGACGTTCGTGTAATTATAAATATATTTTAAAATGATCTACTGGCCGAGATGTCTTTTTCGGAACGAAGGTTTTATTTTCCATGAGAAGATAAATTGAATATTTCACATATTCGTGATGCAAATCTACATGTTATTTACATTTTCGAATTAAATACTTTACCTGGAATGTCGATGTGTATTAAATTATACGATAAAATAAAATAAACGAATCAACCAAATGAGCATTAAGTCCAAGGTGGTGACGGAATGAAAACACTAATTTATGTGTGATGTGTAGACGTTTCGATAAATGCTTCGACTTAATGCTCATTTGGTTGATTCATTTATTTTATTTTATCTTATTTTTTTATTGAGCTATATTTATTAACTTTATATTTATTAACTTTTATATTTATTAACTTTTTTTTATATTAAATTATACGATTTTGAGAAGTTAAAATATATTTATAATTACACAAACATCCAATATGTAAGCTCGTAAAAAGCGTAATTCTTAATTTGTTTAATAAGTGTTGCATAGAAAAATTTGTTTTAAATATTGTAACGCAATTTTATTTGTAGATCCGATCACACGTGAATGGGCGTTAATAGAAACGCCTTTTACAATAATATTTATAACTTCTGCTTATTTGTATTTTATATTTTACGCCGGACCAAGTTACATGAAGAATCGACAAGCATTTAACTTAAGAACCTTTATGTTATTTTATGACGTATTTCAAATTCTTGCTAATGCATGGCTGGTACACGGTCACATATCTGCCGGCTGGTTTACTGAATATACCATAAAATGTAATAATAATAATGGTGATCCGACGAGTAAAACTGGTTTTAAGGTATGTTTTTATGTTAAGTATTGATGAAATTGTATTGCTGAATTAAAAAACGTAACACATATTTGTCTGTAAAAACAATGCAATTAATACATTTTCTTTTCACTTTAAACATGTAATAATTAATATTTTTTTAATACAAATTTGTGCATTTCAGCTAATAACTATTTCATGGTGGATACTAATATTAAAACTAATTGATTATATCGAAACGTGTATATTTGTTTTACGGAAAAAACAGAACCAGGTTTCTACTTTGCATGTGTATCATCATGTGTCTAATGTCTTTTTCGTATGGTATTTCGTCAAATACATAGTGGAACCCAGAATAACATTAGTGTCTTTAATGAATTGTTTTATACATATTATCATGTATACATATTACTTCATTGCAGCGTGGAGCATAACCGTGCAACAAAAAATATCTGTTTTTAAACCTTATATTACGAAGACACAAATGGTAAGTTCTACATTATATACAAGTTTGTAAAGTATGTATATATTACGCATGTATCATATAAAACAAAGTTTGTACATTATATTTTATAATTGAACTTCATACCATAATATTGTTACTAACTGTTCATTTAATTAGACGAATTTGTAATTTAATTAATTTTAACGTTCCTATGATAAATTTATACATAACAACAATTATAATATTTTGAAATTATAACCTCTAGATAATATAAAGTATTTGTATAATATATTATTATATAAGTGCGTGATTATTAATATAGTTTCTTTTCACAAAACGTTATAGATGCAGTTTGTTGCGATGATATGCTATGGACTACAGGCTTTTCTAGATCCAGAATGCAAAGGATCAAAACGAACAAAACAGCTTGTATTCATATTTCTTTTGAACTTGTTACTATTTCTATACTTATTTTATGACTTTTATAAAAAGACATATAACAAAAAACAGAAACAAAAAACTGCAAAACGCGAAGAATAACATTTATGTAACAAACAGGGTTGAGAAGTAACACGTTACTTGTAACGTTGTTACCGTTACAGTCACTAAACAAATTCTTACATCTTTGTAAATGTACGCTGAAACTAGTGGCTATGAGAGTTGTAAGAAAAATGTAATAAAATATGAGATAGCCGCTTCTTTTTATTTTTAAATCACATCATTATGACATGTTATATTTGTGAGTAACCAGCTTTTTTTTACTAACAAGAGATATTATTTTTGAGATCATTAATTATGTATTCTTTATTCTTATATCTTTATTCGTATTGTCACACAATATATAAACTATTATATATATAAAAAATTTTTTTTTTTATTCTTTATTCACGCATACGTATAAACTAACGGAAATATGTTTCAATTTGCGTCGACAATTATTAAAACCATACGTAAATATACAAAAAATATATGTAATAAATACACTAAAAGATCTTTCGTTAAAAATAAATTATAAAAAAGCCTAAGTCTAAATATGGTAGAAGATATATTACTTAAAATAGATATAGCTTTTTGAAAGACTTTATAAAATAACATTTTAAAATGTATTATAATTATGTACACGTTTTTTATGTATGCGTCAGCAAGTAACCATAGGTTTTCTGTTTTCCGGTTGGTGTGTTGTTCGTAAGTCGCATATTATTTGCCACACTAGAGAGCTTCATATCTCTTCTTTTTGACTTGACATACGAAAAACTTCGCAGTAATCCGCGAGAACTATAATCTGAACTGAGATCTGAGAATTGTTGATGTTGCACTTTCTGTATCCTCCAACGGCACAAATATCTGATGCAAATTGTAAAAATATTTAAATATAATTGCGCGCGTATGTGTGTGTAAAAAAGAATTTTAAAAACAAACTCTTCGCAAGACCTACCTGTTGAAATATTTCTTGTAAGTGTTGCTCGCGAAGTACAGAGTAAAGGGATTGATGCAGCTGTTGAAAAAGGCGAGGCCGAAACCTAATATGCGAAAGTAATGCCAAAAGTAATTGTAATCGAACTGTGACGTTGAATTGAAGTGAAACCACATCATGAAAATGAATTTCGGTAGGAAACAAATGGCAAATGTAATGACAAAAATTAGCGTCATCCATACTAACTTCTTCCGAGCCTGCACTTGCTTCATCTGAAAATACATAGCGTGAATCAGCGTGCGAGAAATATTATTATTGTTTGTACTGTATAAACTAACCCAAGGCTATAACGGGCTTGTAGAACTTGAACTGATATCGTTCGCGAACGATAAGAGAAAATATATTATTTCAAGACAAAACGAGAGAGAAAAAACACGAAAGAAAGAAAGAGAGAGAGAGAGAGATATGTATAAAAGAAGACAAAAGAAAAAAGAGAAAAAGTTAAAATTGCGCGCTTTTCTCACGCTGAGTAAAATATAATTTAGTTCTCTTTGCACATCCGTAATTGTACAAAAGTACGTTACCTGAACTTGCATTTCACCGAGCGCCTTCATACTGCGTATTAAATGCAATGCCATTAACACGTAGAAAATGCTGATAATAATTAGAGGGATCACATAATAGATGAGAAAGCGATACAGCACTATCATTTTTGGATAATTCGGACCGAATTCATCGGGAAACGGATAGCACACCTGTTAATTATAGCGTTAGGTTTTTACACGTTAGATAGAAAAACAATATACAGTAATATCATTTAGTTTTGTTTGGTGTGGTGGGAATTTCACTTGTTTTAAAAACTGAAGACTTATTACGAGGACTTACACAAAAGGTCATGTTTCTGTTGACCCTAAAGAATCTGACATACGCCAACCCAGCTGGAATTGCGACTATTATTGCCAATAGCCAAACCAGTGCCGCGATAATTATAGCAAAACGCCTTGTTTGTCTCGCGTGCCCTGAAACAAAGTGTTTGATTGATATACACGTTTTATTTTTTATTTTCTCTCCATTTTGTCACTCAAAGACGCGCAAGTTGAATTCACTTCTGTGAGTAAAAGACATAGAAGGAGATACGCGTGTTACTGGGTGAAAAATAAAAGAGTTTATAGTTATAGTTAATAAAACTTGAAGAGTTTATAGTTGAGAGATGTCAATAGAAATTTTTCGCGTGTACCTCTAGCACGCAAGTTCCAAGGATCCACTATGGAGAAGTATCTGTCCACCGAAAGAGCAGTTAGTGTGAAAATGGATACCCCGTTGGAGAGATCGTTCGCGTACTCGCCGATTTTGCACGCCAACAATCCCAGATGCCAGGATTCGAAGACGTAAATGCTACCGATGTACGGAACACATATAACTAAGACCTGGACAAGAGACAGAGAACAAAAACCTGTGATAACAATCGATAAATAACTAATAATAATTTTATATTTGTAATATAAAACAAAAAAGACAGGCCGGAAAGAAATTGTTGTCAAAAAAACTTTATACGTGCCAGTATATCGCCAATCGCCAGCGACAATATGTACGTGTTGGGCGCATTTCTCATACGTCTGTGTCGAAACAACATGAGAAGAAGAACGCTGTTCCCAACGAGTCCGATCAGCATGATGAAAGAGAAGATTATCGGCACAAAGTACGTTTCTGGCCGCTTGCTGTACGGTATGTACGGCACATCCGTCTCGTTCGCTGTTTTCGTTATATTTAACGTTATATTAAAATCCGTGTAATTGTAATTCGGCGATAGTGTCGATGTTGTTATTCGCGCCGTGTCTATTAACATCGTGGACGAAGTGATTAGAGGAATGCTCATTGCGCGCAAAGACATGATTGTTCTCCAAATAATATTCTTCTTTTTTTTTTTTTTTTTTTTTAAACAAAGATTCAGCGACACGTTTAATCTATCCTGCGATCATAAAAAGATTCCGGATTCTAGCAACAATGACCTGCAAAGTACACGAAATTGCTAATAAGTTTTTTTTTTTTACATATGAGACAAGCTTGAAACCAATTTAGGTTTGCGTCCTTCTGGCGTCTGACGTAAACGAAGTATGAGATACGATGTAATCCATTAAAAATACATACGACATATAGTTCAAAGAAAGCTGCCAGTACAACAAAATCGATGAGTTTTAAATGTTACTTCTACACATTGTTAATAATTTTCAAGCAACACGCACACACAACACTATATTTTTTTTTTCTTCTCCCGTAGCAGTTATTCTCGATATTTACTCACGGTCTTTTCTCTTTGTTTTTAACTTTAATTCGCCGAGTATTTGCTGAGTCGTAAAAAAAACTTGCCTGTGTTTCGATTGAATTTTTTTTTTTTTTTTTTTTTATATATATTGTGTATCACATTCACACTTTAAGTCGATCTTCATGTCACAAACATGTTTACGTAAGACGCGCGTGTTTGTTAATTAAATTATATATTTCAATTTTTATTTTTATTTTTTTTTTTTAATATCGATATCACACACTGTAATACGCAAACGTAGTAGCACACTGTACGCCACATTTGATTAACTCCGGTTGCAATAAAACAGCACTCATTATCCCCGGAAGCTTTTATCTGAAAGCAAATGTACACGTGGATTTGCCACTGTACATAATCCTCGCCGTATTAATCGTTTAATCGTTTTACGTTTTAATATTTCAAGCGTAATACATAACGTATATGTGTGTGGAGATCCTATTAACTTATTGAAATCGTAAGTTTTTCTCCCCGATTTTTTCCGAATTCGAAAATTGAGGCACTCGCATAAAAAAACAAAAAAAAATAAAAAAAACAAGTACACGCGCAAACCAAATAATTGAAATAACAGACGACGATGTGCTGCGATGCTACGTATTCGGCAATTTGAAACCGAAAGAAACAGATCCGATGATACCGGGAAAGTGTGAGCGCGCACGAGGACTCGATGTAGTTTACGACTGGTCTGTTCGCGTTATCACTTATCGTGACGATTCTAATTGAATCCCAACTGGATTCGCAAACGTAGCACCAAACGACGAAGAACGATAGTTGGCGAGTGATTATTTCTAGAATATCCCTTCGATGTTCCTCTCTCTCTCTCTCTCTCTCTCTTTCTCTGAGGGAAAATAATATTGTTTAACTCGAACAAACGTCATGAAATATTATTTTTCAAACAGATATACGCTTTTTTGTTAATTAAACAAATAATAAAAACAGAACAATTTTGTAGTATGCACTGTAATCTACAGTGTGTTTGTTTAATTATAAACTTTTATTGTAAAAATTATACGCATACAGGTGATATTATTTATTTGCGAGATAAATAAAATTAATCGATTTTCTGTCTGCGTCCAACTCGTTCGAACGTAGCTCGTATTGTTCCCTTCAGAGCTACGCGCGGTACATACAAGCGAGGTATAAAAGGGGGTATGTGCATCTGCCGTTTTTTCAGTCCTTTACACAACGACGGTTGAACAGCTAGCCGAAGGGGGCAATAAGCTCCCCCGCATGGACCCCTCCCCAGGGTAACGGTCGTGAAAAGTGAGAGGGGACTCTGGTAGTACGGTGACCATCGACGATGTATAGCAAAACGGTCGGTTTCATTGACAGTTCTTTTGGTCGCACGCAGCACATAACGAATAACTACGGTGCTGTGTTGTTTCTCGCGATACACGCACGCACATATTACGAAAGTATTTCGAAGACGCCTCCTCGTCCGACAAAAATAAAATATTAGCACAAGAACGAGTCATACAATGAAGAGATACTCATCAGTAAGATACTTACCACATATATATGGCTTGTGTGTATACTCGTGCAATAATAGTGTGAGATGAGAAGTTTACATTTAATATTTTTCAAAATACATGTGCGCGCATGCACGCACTGTGTGTATGATCGAACAAACATTTGAAATTAAAAATCTATTCAAATTTGTGTTCAATGCAGGCACCTTGCTTAGAAGATGCGGGCGGTGATGTTAAAAGAACAAGGGGAATTGAAGATTACGCGGTGAGTTACATTTATTGATTTATCTTATTCGAAGTGCCGGATACTCAACTGCGGATAAAATTGATAAACGAAGTGTAATTGTAAGCGAATTAAATTAAAATTATAACGAATAAGTTGTAATTGTGATGAAAATAACGACACTTTAGATATTATAATTATTTACAATCTATTTTTTCATATCAATGACGTCATATAGTATTGCTAATGTTAAAAATAAATCCAAAAGAGCAAATGTATTTTTGCTTTTACACCAATAAGCAGATCCCACGTCGTAAATATACGCGTAAATAAAATATTGCATACCGTAAATAAATTATTCAAGTAAATTATATCTATCTATCGTCGATCAAAAAGCATACTTTACATGTACGTACATTAAACATTCGAAAGGGCGTCTCTTGTGTGTTTCCACAGGATTTAAACACAAAGGAATATCTCCAATTGGCTTTAAACAGAATTCTAGAATTGCAACAAGAAATTAAAGAGGGCACATACGTCGAAGAAACTGACAACGACACTAGTGATCCGGGTAAAATTGTTGACTTTATTATCTTTGTTTTTTTTTTGTACTAACTTTAAAAACAAATTAAAAAGATTGTGTTAAATTCTTAATCAATTAAAAAAACATGCAATTACCAACATTTACTTCGCAGATACATCAGGCAGCGAAGATGTTACAAAACAGATTGTCACTAAAGTGTTCCGAGATCTACCCGGGACTTCAAACTTATTTGCGATAATAGATCGCGAAACGCTCTGGAATCGTCGCATAGACGCGCTTCATAGTAAGAGGATACAGTTATTGGGTTTCGATACTTGTCGGAGATTGGCTCTCGACTTCATGAAAAATGTCGTTCACGAATCGCGAAACCGATCCTCTTCATTAGACAGGGCTGAATTCGATCGCTTCCCAGAAAATAGATCGTATTCAAGGGATGATGAAATTTTAGCAAACGACTTACGTAAACGAGAGTCCAAGGCACAAGAAATTCGAGCGAGAATGTTGAAGAGTCTGGACTTGCATTTAGCCGTCAAACAAAGAGACTACACGGTCAAATTAATGAGATCAAATATATAATTCAGTGACGGCAGAAATATTGAGCACAAATATTAAGCGGAAATAGATCAAAGATTATAACAACGATTTACAAATAGTTTGATGCAAATTGTGTGCTAAGCAATTATATGATTTTTTTTTTTTTAGTTGTTAATGTGGTTAAAAATGAGAAACCTTACAACATTTTTCGCAAAAATACATCTTATCTAGTCAGTATTATATATTTTTTATATATATTTATATTAATATATATATATATATATGTATATTATACTATATTTAACTACGTGCGCGCATATGAAACCAACGCTTTTATCGATCTCACTTTTGCAGTATTTATGGAAATCTATCTAGTCATGTATAAGTACGTAAAAACTTTTTCACTAGTCAGTTTTTTCCATATATATTTATTATACCATATTTTAATTAATACTTAATTTATAGAAATCATAGATATAATTTATATGTAGAGTGAAATTTATTATGGCTCGCAAACTTTCTTAATTTATAAAAGCGAGACTACGCATATAACAACCTAATATAACGAAATGTACACTGATTTCAAATAAATAAAAACAAAATAATGAGATGTAGGCTACTTTGTTATTTGAGAGCCGAAATTTTTCATTTAACGAGGTACTATTGCATTTCTAAACACTATTTTTTTTCTAAATAATAATATCAATAATTTGAAGAGAGATGAAGGAATGTGAAAAGATATTGTGGGGCTAACATGCATTTATTAAAACTTAAAGCACTGCTGTGTTTTTTTTATTCTGAAATATTATTATATTGTTTTCAGTTGTGACTAGGAGAATACAGTAAATCCCGGATTGCTTGTTTTTTTTTTTTTTTTTTTTTACATTATATTCCATATTTTGTAATATTATTAATTCTATATATATATATTGCAATTTATATTCAATTAGAGAGAAATAGCATAAATATAGGTGCGCGGAAATATGCGAGATGTCACAAAATATTATTTTGCAAAATGTGCATTGCCATCACGTATTAACATTGTAACTAAGTTTCAGATATAAAAACCATAATAGACACATTATAAATTATCGCGAAAAAAGAGCTAAGTACACAATTGCCATAACAAAATTAAAAAAATTCTTTTTATCCACTTATAAATCTTAGAACAAAAAATATACGTAACAAGAAACAATTCGAGTCGTGACATTGAAGTGTTCAGTGCACAAAACTTTGCACTACAAATTATTTTGTACGATAATAGTAATATCTTGAGAAACAATGAGAAAATATAACGCATGTGTTACATGTTAAAATTCATGTATCAAGCTAATGTTTATAGTTACACAGTCTTTGTATATATATATATAATATATATTATCAGATATCTCTCTCAATTTTAAGAGAGTAAATTTAGAAAATATACTTTTATTATATTTTTTTTTCACATATTCCCGTTGTACAATATTTAAACTGAGACTTGGATGAGCGTATAAAGATTAATATACTTAGTATGAAGCTAGCACAAACCTTTGTAGATTATTATTAAAATAAAACGATTTTGTCTCTGTGTATATGTGTGTGTACGTGTGTGTTTGTGTGTGTTTGTATGTGTAAATGAATGTTTTTTCTCTTTATACAAGTAATAATGTAAATCACATCAATTCCTACTAAACTACAAAATTGGAATCATATTTTTATCTACCGTTTAACATCAAGCTATTCGTATAACTTATATATTGATCATATGTATTTTCTAAATTTTATGGAATATTAACATCAATTGAACTCTTATTTTATTTCAAATATGTGCGATTTTTAAAATCCAACAAGAGTAAAGGCAACATTTTAATTTCTTTTAAGAAATTATATCTATATAAGTTTTTATAAGATCGAGATAAATTTCTTTTTTATTCACACAAGCACTTTTTCTAAATCAAGTGGTCATTTTCATCATCGAAAATGAAAAATACACATCGCTAAATTTTTATCTGTCTTACTCACATTTTTCTCTTTTCTTTCTTTCTTGTTGTACATGAAAATATATAATGAGTTTCACTTCCTTTAATATACACAATTTTACTAACGTCTTGTAAAGACCTAATATTGCTTTGCTAATAAAGACAAAATTTTATTTGCACGTGATATAACACACATACTGTAGCTTTATAAGATGTTTTTTTTTTCGGGTGTACCGGGATTGCAGAATTGTAATTGGAGAATGGACAGGGAAAACCCAAGCCTTAAATTTATTTTACGAACCTGTCATAGTTTCGGTGCAACTTGTGCAATCCCAGTGTGGAGAAAAAAAACAAATCTAAAATGTAATAACGTAATAATACCGTAAATATAAACATACAATAACACGCAAAATTTGCTCGTAAAGAGTATATATTATTAGGTATATGCAAATTAATTTTAAATTTGTTGTGAAAGTTATCGTGTATTTTCTCAAATGTAAAAAAAACCAATGTCATTTAATCGATATCGATAATTAGAAGTAATCGGTGGTATTAGAATATCGTAGATGTAATCGATCACACTGCGCCATTTAAAGAGTCAAATTAGAATGATCGGTCAAAAATCTAAATTAGTTTTTTTTTCCGAAGTTAGTTCCTCGAATTTTGATGCAAAACTGTTTGAAATATGTTATAGGTAAAGCTATGATAATATAAAAACAATTTTTTTTTTTTTTTTTGACAATTTACCGTGATTCCTGACTCCTTAATAAACCATTTAAGAGTTTGATTCTTGTAGAATCAAACTTTAATAAAGGCAATAAAATCTTATCAAAGCAATTTCAAAATCTAATTTGTATATACACATCTAATATATAAAAGAATGTTTTCAACATGATTTTAAAAATAGTATACGGTACCCAAATTTTTCTATATCTATATACAAATTTTTAATAGCAAAATTAACGTAACAATTAGATACATATATAAATGTAAATCTGAAAAGTCTTTTTACCTCTGAATTTATATAACGATAATTGCAGATACACACATAACATACATAACTTTAACAGATAATTATAAAATGGCACAGATTTGTTCTATTAAGCGCAATAAATTAAAACGACAATAATCGTCCTTTTGTAAACAATTACATATATATATAGGATTGATAAAAATTCTTAAAGATTAAATTATGCGTAAAAAGCGTCAATCAATTCCACATTTACAGGGAATGTATTTCTGATTATTATAGTATTTGATACAAATTGTTTGTAAAATAGGGAGGGACAAACTACCATCTTTCTCGTTGATTTAAAATATTTAAATATACCATTATTCTCAAAATGATATATATATATATATATATATCCACGTAAAGAAACTCGTTGTTTAACTGTACCTGTCTAACTGCACTTTGCGACATTGACAAAGCCATTTTATAATACGCGCGTTTCGTTCGACGATACTCGGCGGATCGTTCACCCTTTGGTTGCACTCGTCGTTACCCATTCCAATACTGCAATTGTTCTGCCACTGGCTACCCTGGTTCGTTTGATTACTGCCAACCCAGGAATAGAGACCTAACGCGGAATCCACGGAACTGACGCTGTCGAAGAATACGGGAGACGACGATTTTGAATCCGGTTCCGTTATACGCTTGTAGTTGTCCGAATCCAAACCTAAGCGATCGAAAAAGTTCTCGAGCTGAGTTATCGACCGCGGTGGGCGTGAAGATACTTTGCCGGAACGATTGTTATCTTGGCGCCAGTATCGATCGCTTATGTCCGACTTCGATCTTAAAATCGGTCGACCACGACCTTCTTTCCAACCGTCGGAAAACCTACACAAATTGTAATCAAATTATAACAAACAACGCGCTACTGATTGTAAAATTTTTCTTTGATAGATAATACCTCGAATTACAAGTCGGGCTGTAATCCGTTTGGCTGTTGCTACTTTCAGAATCCGGGCTATATTGTCTCACAACAGAAGGCGGTGTACCGCCAACGTAGCTACCTTTTCTCGATCGATCTTTCTCGGTGGAATGTTGCGTGGACGCGCCGCTGTCTCTTCGAATATGGGTCCAGCAATCCTGAAAAATTGATAACGATTAAAACCAAATCGAGATAGAACGTTACATTTTGGAAATATAATATTTCAAGAATCGTTAGCTATCTGTACTTGTATCCTAGGTGCTGGTTCGCTGCGATGAGTGCAATGTCCGGAAGAACCGCCGGAGTCTCTAGCCGTCGCGCCATGGCTCAATTTACTGGAACCCGATGACTTTTGCGTGCGTCCACCGGAAGATAACACGCTGCTGGCATCACCACCGCCAGATCCCAGAGATCGTCTAATGTGACGAGAACTAAAATTTAATTTTTAAAATTTCATTCATTAAAATTTGTTTTTTATTTAAAATTACACGGTAATTTACGTTGAGATATTAAATCTAATTTAAAAATTACCTACCTGCGGTAACACACGGCGTCGCGTTTAAAGCTGTGATCCGAATAATCTGAACTAGTTTCATAATCCGGGCAATTACTTGTGTTCGTAACCTGGTGATGAGCAGATGGCTTTGCAGATAACTTTGTAGATGCGCGTGGTGAGAGTGACGCTCGTCGACGTGTACTTGTGTGAAGATCCGGCAAGGATTTGTGGCATTGTGACGTATTTTCCACCGACGGGGAACTGTTTGATTTTCGAGCAGATCTGCCAGAAGTGTGAGAATGCGAGTTGCTTCTGCCGAATTTGAAGCGAACATCCTGCTCCCCGCAATGCTACAGAACAAAAAAACGTTCGTATAATTTAATTTGTTGATCTAAAAGAACGTGCATAAAAGTTGGGAGCGATTTTTTCTCACCAATATATGATCCTCGTCTCGGCAACCCGGCGAGAGACTACCGGGCGAGTACCGGAATTTTTCTTCTCGCGGTGGCACGCCATTACTCTGCGTTGTGCTTTGCGGCGGGCTATCCGGAAAGAATACGTTCTCCTTGCTGTCGGTGTTTAACAGCCGACGTAACTTGGTCTGCAACTGATCGCCTCCGGTACCGCTGGGCGGTCCTGAAATCGTACGTCTCTGGGGAACCGGGACCAAACGTGGGCTTTTCGGTGGCAGCGCGGGTGGCAGTGTTTGTTGAGGACTCAGAAGACTTCCATCTACTGTAAACGAATACGCATAACTTGTAATATGAACTGTTTGACATTCAAGGGATCAGAAAAATTCGATCTCAGCTGGAATCTCAGGAATGCTACAAAAAAAAAAAAATCTCGAGCTTTGTATTTTCTTTTCGATCGGATTACATGTTATACATATTTTTGTATAATTTTCGGAGAAAGGAGGGGGGCTTACACGAGAGAACTCGTTGAAATATACAAAATTCAACGGCCGAACTTACGTCTGTCCTGTTCGTGACACGAAACCCAGCAGCAAGGCGCCGTCAGGGGAGTCGGTTGCAATTGCGACGGTGACGTCGGTTGCATCGGGCAAGCGGACGAGTTGCCGGTACATTTTCGCAATAATCTGGAAGGCGGCGCTCCCGGTGCGCTCAGCTGCGAGACCTGCAGATGGCCGCTGTTCTTTAATTCCTGTTTCCGATCCAACACGGTCTCGCTCTTCACGTAGAAGGCTTTCGTCTCTTGCAGCAGCTCAACGGCGCTCTTCCGTTTCCCTGCGGGAAACGAAAAGGAAAACATAAAGATAAGAAACTTCACCTGTGAAGAGAGCGACTGCTACGGCGTAAAAATAAACTTCCGCTTCTTGAAAGAAAATATTACACTTTTTGGACCGGTCGGGTCGTCGAAAACCCACGTGCGACACATGCCACGGAGATCAAGTTGTAAAATTTACGAAAACACGATCGTGCAGCTGCTCTTTGGAATATTAGCTCCCAACAGTACCTTTTTTTATTTGTGATATATTTACATGGGTTTGCTCAAGCTTGTCAAATGTCTCGGAAGTGTCATGTTTTAAAAGAAAAATATGAGTTTCTCGACTTATCGAAACCATCTTCTGGGACAATTCTCAACAAGAGAATCCGCGTTGAAAACAGTTTCTACACGTAAAAGGTATAAAATATCAAATATAAGATATAAAATTTGCATATTTCTCAAGCTTTATTATTTAAAAAAAATAGTAATATAGGCCCAAGTTTTTAAAAAAAAAAAAAAAACATTATCAGATGTGAAGGGCCAATAAGAACCTGGAATAAAAATTACTCACACACTACCACCTGTGGTTTAGGCTCTTATTGGCCCTTTTCACATCTGATATTGTTTATTATTTTAAATTTAAAAAATCAGTTTCTCAACCGTTTTTTTTTTTATTTTATTTTAATATCAAAAATTTTGATTTCTAACATACGTAATAAATTAACGTGAAGATTTCTAGATTTAGCGAGAAAGAGTATTTTCTGTCGTATATTATATATATATATCTTTTGTGTGCGCATCTCTTATCCCGGTTTACATTCTTGTAGCATCATCGCGACCAATCGCGTCATCGTGCAGGAAGGACACGTGCGCAATGTGTATCTCTCTCGTTTACACGGACGCGCGCGCGCGTGCGTTCACGCAACGCATCTGTGTGTACATACTGATTGCGAGAGAGCAAGTGTTAACGACGTACGAACAACGTCGACGACGACAAACGGCACAAGCGCATCTGTGCGCTGCTTCTTCTGTTTTCGCGCGCCTCTCGCGTCACCACGTTTGTTCCGTTTGCCGCTGCTGTTGTTGATTGACAACATATGTCTCGCGCCGCCGCCGACACGCACACACGTCCCCCCGCACAGAGAATACTCTTACCAGTCGCGAAAGCTAAAATCCAGACACTTCTTCTCTGGAGAGAGGAGACAATCCGTTAACCACCGACTGTGATATAACGACGGGGAAACACGTAACTAAGATAAAAAAGAGTTCGAACGATGTAGAAACAGCGTCAAGGCCGCTGATATTTCATCGTACGTGTGGCAAAATTGTTGTTAGGAGCAAAGAGTAAAATTCTTTCCATCTCGATGCAGCTCGGACTGCTGTCGTTTGATGCGTGTGACTTATTTTTGTTTTCTCTAACGAATATATAAATTGTGCGCACAGATCTCGATACAATTTATTACACGACTCTCTTAGTATCTAAAAACTGTACAAGAGACGAGTAAAATTCCGAGCGCTGGATGTGCAAAGTATATTTTTTTAATTAATTTTGTTTTTCTTCGCCACCTTCTCGAACGGAGAAAAATAAATTTTCGCGCAAACAACCTGGCGTAACTGCGCGTGTAAATTGATGACAAAATCGACGCGCCACCGCGCGATGATCGTCGATCATCATTGGTGGTGTGTTAACACGTAGAATACACAGCGGTGTGTTATTATCGCGCAACGTTGAATTTGTTGGGCCGAGAATCGGCGACGGCGCGCATTCACTATAAATTGTCCGAAACGAGGCTATCGGACTATCGGGCGTTTGTCCTTAATCGGACGTGGCACGGTTTTGCACAATAGAACGTTAATGACGAAGATAAGCCGAATTGTCGCCGAGGCGGATTCTCGCGGGGGTTCGAAAACTGGAACGAGAAATCATTTTTCCTTCGAATCTAATTTCACTTTCGCAAATGTACGACGAGAAAAAAAACGCTTGTATGAAAGATGTTGTATATTGTTTGATATGTCGGTACTGTATAAAAGAAAACGCATCCGAGACCATTTGAGGTATTTGCGCCGCATAGCGTGAATCGCGACGTTCGAACGTAAGACATTCCGGAATAAAATTTTCTCGACGCGTTTTTTTTTTTTTTTTGCCGATTTATTCCGTACTCGCTACGACAAGACCTTCGCGCGCTTGAATTTCTCTCTTTTTCTTCTGTTTTCAAATAAATCAAATCTACACGTCGAAAGTGCCTTGACGCATCGATTCGCAATGCGCGTTTTCGCAATGCGCGAAGGGACTTTTACCTGTATGATCGGTATGCCGATGATGATTTCTGACATACGGCGGCGCGGGATGTCTGGCCTGCTGCATGTCCCAGTAAGGATTCCGACTGTTTCCGAAATTGTTCACTCTCGGCTGCTGCGAAGGCGAGGACGATTGTTTGCAGGGTAAACGTGCCATGGCAGTCATCATCTTTCTCCAAGAAGAAATCTAAAAGCCGATTTTACTTCATCGACGTCCCGCTCATTTTATTACGTCGTCGTTTCAACCCCATTTTCAAGCTACTGTCTGCGATCCCTGTGGAAATAAAATCAACCAAGCGGAGCCAAGTTAGAATTTTACCAGAGGGAGAGAGTTGAAAAGTTCTTCTGATCCTCACAAATTATGCGACTGAAAACTTTCCAACTTTATTGTGCGTAAATTACGTTTACTTAAAAATAGAATTTATTTTCTTTTTTTTTTCCAGTTACGTCACCAAGCGACTGCGAAACGTTTACGAGTAATTACACATTTCGAGACAGTTTTACGCGCAATTCGCAGGGTTTTTTGCGCAATAAAACCATCATTGTTCTCGGAACGGATTATTAAGAAATTTTTTGTGTGCTGGATCGAGAGAGAGAGCGCGTGGAACTCGCTCGGGTGAGCGTCGAGAGCGCGCCAGTTCTCTCTCGCACACCTTGTGGTTTAAATGTTATTTATCGTCTCATGGAGTCGCATTCAATATTATCGCGCGACCGAACGCCTTCCATTACCATAACATCGACTCTGTAATGCGTTGTTGTCTACCTGTTCGCGTTACAAAAGAATAAAATGCGGCGTCTGAAAAACACCTGTGCTCCTCTTTACAAGATCCTATTCCGTCAATAGACGATATTCTATTGTGAGTCTCACGTGTCTCTCGGCGAAGCTCATTTGAATCATCCGCGTGCAACTGTCGCTTGGTCGATCTGTCTGTGCGAAAAAAAACCAGACGAGAATCTTCAAGTCTTTTTTATATCTTATTTATATCTTCCGCGTTTGTTGTTCGTAGAATACGCGCGTATTTTAAAGTAATTGAATTTTAGCAATTAAAACTGAGATTCATCTCGGGCTCTGTGAAGTCTTTCTAACTAATAAATGAATGATAAGTCGTTGAGAGCCGTTCGCTGGATGTTATGCGGGAAATATGTCTATATATATATTATATGTGCGTGTGTACACATATATAATAATTATTATATATGTGTACACACATATATAATACCGAACGGTATACCTCCTTTGCAGAGAGAGTTTATATATATGCGTTAGGTAATAATATTATATTATTATTATATATAATAATTATGTATAATTATTATATATAATTATTATATATTATTATGTATAATTATTATATATAATTATTATATATTATTATATATGTATTATATTATATATATAGACATATAATATATATATAATTGTCTATATATAATTATTATATTGTCTATATTGTCTATATATAATTATTATATATATAGACATATTTCCCGCATAACATCCAGCGAACGGCTCTCAACGACTTTATCATTCATTTATTAGTTAATTGAATTTTATTTTATTTTATTTTATTTTGTTTGACTCGTGTGTCGGCGAAAGCGAATTTTATAAACGCGATCGATTAGCGGATCTAATAGATAATCGAGATGTGCCGGCAAGAGAATCGACGTCCGTCGTTCGAACGTCCCACGCGGTTCGAGATGATTCGGTTGGCGAACGGTATACCTCCTTTGCAGAGAGAGTTTAAAGCGGGATCATTCGACTTGACCGAGCAAAAAGCTCTTGGCGGCAAGTCCTTCTTCTCGTCCATGCGAGAGATTCACACATGTGTGTACAACTCGGAACCGCCCACTTGCGTGTGTTTGTGACGCGCTTTTAAAGGCGACCGATAATATCGCGCGCGGGGCGAGCATGTGTCTATGTGTCCGTCGCCGCGAATGCGCGTTCGATGAACGGTATTCGTCCCGTATGCGTGTACATATATGTATATATATACATAGTATAAAAGAGCGACATCGTGCGCGCGCGTAATCGTGAAACGCGTCCTAACTCTCGGCATCGGATGCGCGCATCGTCGTCAGAAACGTGTTCATCGACGATCGTGATGAAGAGCGGATCGCGATGCTCGCAAAAGCGCTGACGACGCGCTCTCTGTCATTCATTCGAGCGTCTCGACACGCTCGAAATACGGAAAACGAATAGGTCGAATGAGAGCCACTGACGGCAAAAGACTCCGACTCGCCTAAAAGACACTGTCTCGAATTTTTGGTCAACGACTGGACTAACAACCACGTTATCTGATGTCGAAGAATGTATTTTATTTGTGTATTCACGAAAGATAAAAAATATCGGGATTTTTCAATAACGTCTTAACGTGTGAACAATGGCGAATGTCGGAAGCTTATTCTTCGTATATTTCGACTTTCGAGTCGAAATTTAACGTCTACATTGAACCTCAATTTTTTAAAAAAGAACATTTTGGACGTATAGCAGCATCTACTTTTTTTCTTACTCCTACTTTGCGTCTATCGGAGCCTATTTTGAGTTTATCAGATCCTGCAATGCGCCAGTCTGACCTGAGAATTGGACCCTACTTTAAAACTCGAGCAGAAAAAAAGGACATTAGCAGCAGTCAAATCAGGGTCTACTTTCTATAGATACGTTAGGTTTTACCCGAGTCGAAATTTAGCGTCTACGTTGATCCTCAATTTTTCTTTTTCTACGTAGGAGTAAGAGAGATAGTAGATCCTACTTTGACGCTGCTATACGTCCGAGAAATTTCCTTTTTTCCTGCTAAAGTTTTAAAGTAGGATTCAATTCTCAGGTCAGACTGCGCATTGCAGGCTCTGATAGGCTCAAGATAGGCTCCGATAGGCTCAAAGTAGGAGTAAAAAAAAAAGTAGATAACCGTGTATATACAACGTTTACCCCCTTATAATATATTATCTTTGATATATTTCTTTCGATACTACGAAACAAACGGGCGTAAAACAACGCGATCCGATTCCTCGATTTGTGACCAAAAATTATTCGACCTGGTAACAACTCGCGCGCAACCGGAAGATGGAATCGCGCACCGATCTTAATTTCAGGTTGTAAACGACAATTTTCACTCGGTTGTATTGTCTCGTTAAATTATTGTCGCAGCGGACGTGACTAAACTCACGAGACGACAGATAAGTTCGTTTGATATCAATCATTTCCGGACAGCGGAAACTCTTGGCGATTCCTCCGAGAACTAAATGGTTCTCTCTTCGCGCAATGATTCGTAAAACACTATCGGGAAGAGGAGAACACTCCGCGCGCTTCGAACAAACTCGCACGCACGCACGCACGCACGCGTTTTATCGCGGCACCACCCACGCACGACACTTGCGTGCGGCGCGCACTTGCCGTCGTCTCGTCGATTGCATAGTCCGCTGTACTGTGTTCGGAGACAGGAAGCTACTATATGAAATCTTTACTCAGCAATAAGTGACACGTGTATCAAGCGAACCTTGCTTGCGTACGTAAAAAAAACGCTGAATTGACACTCGACCGATTATAAAAAAAAAAAAAAAAAAAAAAAAAAAAAAAAA